TTTTGGATGAGTCAAATCGATTGGAGATATACAGATGACGAGGTTGTGCAAGCATGATTCATTAAGCAATCAAAGCGGCTGAAATGGGAGGAAAGACACGGACGAGGAAGCTGTTGAGAAACGTGCCRCCGAGATGAGAGTAGTAGTCGAAATCAAATCYCTGTGTGCAAATCAGCTTGTACTATCGACGAAATGTGCAGAGCRTCATGCTGGTACAAAAGGAAGATAGGCGCAATGTGTACAGACAGATGGTGTACAGCTCCTGACGATACGGCAGCAGGAAGTCGAATCACATGTCATGACCCTATGTATGATACTGCGTGATGACCAACGAAAGTTGATGTGCGATCACAGTGTTATTCTTAGTTCAAGTTTCGTGTTTGATAGAAAGGAGGGGGAAGTGTCCTTCGGGACATTCGTTAAAATTGGAACGATACAGAGAAGATTAGCATGGCCCCTGAGCAAGCATGACACACACGCATAAATCGAGAAATGGCCCGAATTCAAAAAAAAAAAAAAAAAAAAAAAAAAAAAAGAAAGGAGGGTGAAGCGCGTGGAAACGAGGAGTGGAAGAAGAGGAAAGAGAATGTGACTGCAAGGATGACTGGCATGCATAATTCAAGGTCAAGCAACTTCTGCCTTGAATTGTGGTTTGCAATCTGCAGTTCTCACAGTGGCACTGCGTATGTCGATGTGCCTGCCACTGTAGTTTATGGCTACTTACCTTCTTAGCCTTGCCAAGGCTGTACTCTAGTATTAACTTTTAAGCTATTTCCGCCATCAATCCACTTTATTTGGTGCTGCACTCGCCATGAGTGGGTGAGAGGCAAAAGGAAAACACACACTCTTGTGAACGYGGCTCGCCAGCAAACTGGGCCTAACTTCCCGCCTGCGGAGATTTGAACCACTGACGTTACACTTAGGTCGGTCGGTCATCTAGTGAATGAGAGTGCCCATAGGCGTACTGGATACTGGCACAACCACTTGAGCGCCTCGTCAAACGCGGTTGAATTTCCCATTGAAACGAGAGGAGCAGTCTCCAAATTGTATCTCCCAGCTCAGCAACGCCACYGAATCGTCAGACTAACTGTTCGTCAYGATGCACATCCTCCTCCCTCCACATCCTCCTCTGCCTCTTCATCATTATCAGATTCATCATACTAACTGTTACAGCATGTCCATTGTCCTCCACCTCCGTCTGCTGCTCCTCCTCATCTTCGTCTCCGTCTGCTGCTCTTCCTCGTCTTCGTCTTCCTCCTCCTGCTCCTCCTCGCCTCCTCATCRGATCATTGTTATGAGAAGACTTGTGAGACGGGCTCTTATGAAACTCTCCTGCTTCTTGTCCTCCTTCCTTCCTCCTCCTCCTCCTTTTACTCGTCACCATTGTCCTTACGAAGCTTCCCTGGTCAACTTCCTCTCCTCGTCCTCTTCCTTCGTCCTCCTCCTCTTCATCGTCATCGTCCTCATAATCCTCATCGTCCTCATCGTCCTCATCGTCCTCATCATCTCATCATCTCATCATCTCATCGTCATCATCGTCATCATTGTCATCATCGTCATCATCGTCAACATCGTCATCATCGTCATCATCGTCATCATGAGGTGGGTTCTTGTGAGTTGACCACCACCTGCACACTATCCAATCACTCAGTCGTTCCGGGCCGTTATCCTCAAGTTGTAGCATGTGCCTGATGTTGATGAGCTATCGACTTATCATGGCGTAGATCTTCACACAGGGACAGAAAGTGGGACAGCAGGCAGCAGGCATTATTGCCATTCATTGGTGACCAGCCTTTAGGGTGGCTGAATGATCCGCATGGCTGGTCGTGTTAGTTGAGCGTTGGGCTGGTCGTGTTAGTCGACCGTTGGGCAAAGCAGGCACGGAGATCGTGCACTACATTATGCCGGGCACCATTAGGCTGGTCGTGTTAGAGAGAGAGAGAGAGAGTACTGGTCATGTTAGAGAGAGAGAGGGTACTAATATCCGTGTGTTTATCTAGCATGAAATTGATCGGACCGTTGGGTAAGCAAAGACTGAGGGAACTGGCGACGATCGCTTGAGCAAAGAAACTTTTTCAGCATGAAATTGTCAGATCTTGCGACGTGAAGTTTCCCAGCYRGGGAGTGGTGATAGAGTTGAAGAGGACAGTGTGTGTAATAATATCCGTGTGTGTTTATCAGGAGGCAGGAGCCTGGGGTGATGTTCCCTGTGTTTATCGGGAGCGTGGGGTGATGTCCTGCGTGTCTCGAGTCTAAGTTCTGGACCGCAGATTACAAGGATTAGGAACCACGCACACAGGAGYCAGTTTAAGCGCCAGTACAGGGGACGRCAAATTTTCCAAACCTAAATGTTTTGCGCGGCCGAACGAATCAAACCGGTCTCCCCCAGTGGCSCYAGCCAGGCTGGTATATTGAAAGCGCAGCCTCTGTGTCCATCGGCCGAAGTTGCAGTCAAGGGGGCSCATACTGGTGGCTGAAGTTGTTTGTGTCCTGGTGCATGGGAGCCTGGATATGCTATAATATCAATATGACAATCCCGGGTGCTAACAAGGGGGAAACAACTGTTAATATGACCTACAGCTTGAAGGTGGTAGGTAAATGTATAGCTATTAGCTACTGAATTAACAAGCACATTGCTATGTGGATGGTACCCTGATTGCAAGCAGTGCACCGCAATGCGCACGTCATCCTTGAACCACCGCCACATCGTCCGTTAGCAGCATGGACTTTGCTTGTGAGCATGACAGGTCTGACAGGATGGGTCTGACTCTTTTTTTGACAGGGCGAYGGCCTTGAGGCTTGAGGTATCATCATTGAGCTGACCGGCCCAGGTAATAATTCAGAATTAATTGTTTAGTTCTGTCCATCTGATTTCATCTGGATTCGAACTCCGGTCTTATGTATTTCTCAGGAATCTTAACAGTTCATGGGCGTAGCAACTGAGCTAGGCCCGTTGGTAGGGCGGGTCTGATTCATCATCGCCACAGTGCTCTACAATTGCTTTGCAGATGACGGAGCGATTAATCTGGGGGTTAATTATTTGGCGGCACTGTGGTTGCATCATCTTGCTGGGCTACATTTTGCAGCGTAGTGGTGTCGAAATGATCTTTGCGCACTTTGATGACAATCAGCTTGTAGTACATGACACTACTGTGATCTTTTTCTCTCAGTGGAGTTTGAACTCAGGTCTGTATCTCAACAGTTCAGGTCAGGGGAGGTGTACCAACTGAGCTACTGGGCCAGTTGGCATGGACGACTGTGATCTTGTTGGACTGCAATTGCAAAATCAGTTGCAGGACAGTGTTTTTTGTTGGGCTTGTTGTTTGCGGTATGATGATCGCGAGTTAAGGTAGGGTTTTTTGAATGTGATGCGCCAGCTGGGCTTCGAGTAAATCACACTGGGAAGGCGGGAGGCAGGTTTTACTAAACTGTGCAATGGTTAACTTAGTGTAGAGTCCGTAGACCAGTCGCCTAGAAGTAGTTGCGATAACTTCTGCGAGTTTGAATTATTAACTTTTTCATGTAAATGCAGTGAAACTGGGTTCATTTCAAGTTCTGTGCATTGCAGGTGGTTTGGTAGCACAGGAGCGC